TCTCGTGGCGGCGGCCTCGGCGCCCCGCAGGCTTTGTGCTGCGCTGCCGCACGGCCCGCCCCTCCCGGGCGTTGCGTGGAGCTCGGTATGCGTCGAGCAGAGGCATCCGGAGTTGCCAGGTTTAGAGCTTACAGAAAACGCCATGCGACGATTATATTAGCGCTGATGTGGTTTTGTGGGGTTTGGGGTTGTTTGTTTTTTTTTTCCTTCCCGAATGAGACCATGAGATCCGATGCGTTATTTCGGTTGAAGCCTTTCCGTTTTTTAGTTTTCATTGCAAGGGATGTAGATATTTATAAGGTCTACAGAGAGAGAGATAAATTCTCTTCTGGTGAACGCTGGATGTCCATTAAGATGTTGAGCAGTATTGTTAAGTTACAAAGGAGACCTTTCTGCATCGGTGATGACAACGGTTTTAACAGTTGCAATAAAGTGATTCTTGTCTTTGAGTGTTACCCTTGCTCATCGAGGCACTAAATCCAGAAATAACACTCGTTTGTACGTGTGAAGCCAAGTTCTGTTAATTCTTAGGTGGAGCTTTGAGTTTTGCTTTGGTGACCTTATTCTACTGAAATACTTATTATAATTTTCAAGGCTTGATCACCCCGAGTTGTCCCTTTCATTTTTGTTTGTCAATAATCTCCTTTGCTAGTTTCAGAATTTGACAGTGGTGTCATCAACAGCTTGCACAGTAACACAAACACAGGTGAAAATGTTGAAAGCTTTTCGAGTTACTGGTCCTAATTTTGTGGTTTGTAATTTTGTACAGTTCCTAAATTAATAAAAATATTCCATGCATATCTATGGTGAAGAATTGGAATGTGCTTAGCAATTTGAAGATACAGTGAACAGTTTATTCTAAAGCTGTTATAGTTTGTATGTAATTAGTCTACATAAGTTAGGTTTGAAATTTTAAAATACTTTTGAAATTTCTGTAGGAGGATTATGACATTCCAGTGACATTGACAACAGAATATTAAACTTTTGAGGGAGAAACAATATTGGAAATGGTTGGGTATAGGATTTTGATGTTTCTAGAATAGACTTTGATTTTCAAAAAGAAAACAATAAAACTTAGTAGAAAACTATGGTATTTGAGTAAGTAATCTGTAAATTATGTTATGTATGTTAGTATATACTTAAGTGAAGGAAGGAAATGCTTTCTTGGACTGAATTAACTAGTGGACAGTTCATATATTGAAAGTGACTTCTTTCTGTTTAAGTCTTAACACATAGCCTAACTTCTGCCTTTCCCTATTTTTACATTAATGACTTCTCTGTTGCTCGGGAGTCATAACTCAGTAAGTCAGGATAATAATCTTACACCTGTATATAAAATACTGTAAGTTCATGTAAATGAAAAAAAATGAATAGTTGGTATAAATTGCAGAATAGTAGGTATTTATATTAGTGTCTATATTTGGTTTTCTTTATAAACCCTAAACCATTTTATATTATATTATTATATATTTGTACTATTGTCATTGCCTAGGAATGCGGAAAAAAATATATTTGCTTGGTGTAATTAAATTTGAATGGAATTTGTTGGGGGGAGAAAAAATGAAATGTGTGCAGGCACAGTGCTTAATTTCAGTACATCAGTTGTTGAGGATATTTAAAAACTTACTTCAGATGTGTTGGAGGGTTTTTTTGTAACTATGTACTGTTTTTATTCAATTAGCTAACTTTTATTCTAGATTTCCCTGATGTTAAAAGTGAAACTAAAACAGTTGAATAAAACACATGAATATGAGCATTCTGAAAAATTTCTGCAGGATAGCCTCTTATGTATACTAAGCTGTATCATTACGGGATGGTGAGAGTACTTGCTGCCAAACTAATACTCATAAGAGGGAAGAAGAAACCCTTGAAACTAAAAGAGCATGTATTATACAAGGATGTTTACAAATTTACCCCAAACCAAATGTAGGTTGTAGCTTGGTAGAGACACACCAGCAGAATAGGCTTGATGTGTTTTTCTGGATGGTGGTGGTCTATGTTTGTTGTTGTTTTTTACTGAAAAAACACTGCAAGATATGTGTCTCTTTAGGAAAAGTGAATGCTGGCCTAATGGGCCACCAGCTAAGTTTGCCATCTCTTGAGGAATGTAAGAATAAAATTTGCCTTCTGGGGCTGAATTGTTGAAGTTGAGGGTTCCAAAACATTGCTAAAGGAAATAGATTATCCCTTTGGTTCAGTACAGTTCTGAAAAGAGCATACATAAACAAGGGAAGCTGGGAGCATTTCAAATTGGTATTTCACAAATTTCACAAATCCATACTTCTTTATCTCCTATTGCATGTTTGCAAATTATACACTGTGAAATTGAAGAGTTAGTAAATCCTTTAACTTTTTTTTTAAAGTAGTTGGTTTTATGTCTCTCAGTAAGATAAGAAAATGCAAACTTTATGAAAATTGCAGGATATTAGGGTATTACAACAGTAACTGTTACTCTAAATCATGGATTTGTGGTGCTGACAGGACAGAAGATAAGTTTATGAGATTGTTCCGTACTTCATGGAATGGAAGTTCAATGTCAAGGTTAAAGAGACCAACCTTCTCTCCAAAGCCCATGATAATTCTAAATAAATAATACTATATGCAATATAGCTATACAGTATTTACTTTTGTTGGCTTTTGGATATCTAATTACTACCTGGGAGGTTTTTTTTCTTCATTTGGTAATAAACTTGCAAATTGACCTGATCTTTTTGTACCATTTTTAATGAAAACTTGAAATGCTGATCAAGCTAAGAATGCTGCTAAACAAAAATAAAGATATTTGAAATTACTTCCAAAATTCAGAACATGGAAAATTAGAAAGTTTGCCTTGATGTTGGTATATTTTATTCTGGATAATTATGGTAAAAACAGAGTGCTGCAGTAAAGAAAGCTGACATATTTGAAATTTGGTAAGATACAACACCTGGAATTCTTGTTAAAACAAATCAAATTATAAATTTCATTGCATCCATCTTCTGTTGCAGAGATTAATTTGTTGCCTCTGAGGTGGTGGCTTTAAGAAAGTACTTTACAAGATTATATTGCTAACCGTGGCTTAAAATTGAGACTGTTTAAATTCGGGGGGGGTGAGGGATGATATCATCTTTTTTTTTTCCCCCCGTGATTTCTCCCCCCACCAAAAGGATCAAGAAGTAGTATGATAAGCTGCCATCTTAAGTTAGGCTCTTGAGATGTGTGGAGAGATGCTAAATATGCCATGTTTTGAATGGATTGCCTGTGGTTGGAACACTAAATGCCTGAATATTCACTTTCCATAAATGTTGGGCAAAATATTCTGTGTGTGTAAGGTACAAAACTGTTTAAAAGCGATCCAGTAACATGCCTGTTGCTGTCTATTTGGAAGTGTTTGTTGCAGCGCAACCCTTCTAATCCTTGTGTTTGCATTTTGTAGTCGTCAACAAGAAATTGAAGAGAAACTCATAGAGGAAGAAACTGCTCGAAGAGTGGAAGAGCTTGTGGCGAAACGTGTAGAAGAAGAGTTGGAGAAAAGGAAGGATGAGATTGAGCGAGAGGTTCTGCGCAGGGTGGAGGAGGCTAAGCGCATCATGGAAAAACAGTTGCTCGAAGAACTCGAGCGACAGCGACAAGCTGAACTTGCAGCACAAAAAGCCAGAGAGGTAACGCTCGGTCGTTTGGAAAGTAGAGACAGTCCATGGCAAAACTTTCAGTGTCCGTTTGTGCCTCCTGTTCGGTTCAGAAAGAGATGGAATACAGCAAATCTAATTCTCTTCTCATATAAACTTGCATTGCTGCGAAACCTAATTTCTAGACTATTCAGAGGAGCTCACTGGTACTTAAACAGTTACTCTCCTAAAACCTGAACAAGGATAGTTGATTTTTAATGGAACTGACCTACATATTTCAGAATTGTTTGAAACTTTTGCCATGGCTGCAGGATTTATCAGCGGTCCTTTCAGTTTTGGGGAAGGGTGTTGAAAATCTGTAATGATGTATCCTTCATTTGTTTAATTTTGTTTACCTAGACTGTAAGAGGCTTTTGCCTTCAGTCAGGCAAAAAGCAGGGTCCAGCAGTGAGCTGCAATACCTGTCTTTAACAAATAGGTTTCTTCCTCTTCATTTAAAATGAATGTTTTCCTTGAGCGTACGTACTTTGGACGAATTCTGGGACTTCGAGCATAAGCCCATCCACGTCTTCACGAAGGATCTGTGTCCAAATCATTATATCCACTTCTAATAACTACTAACTACTCCTTTTTTTTCCCTAGAAGTTACAAAAGAGCAGGTTGCCCTTGTCTGAAGTCAAGCTGAACATGTGACTTGGGTTTTTGGTTTTTTGGTTGTGGTTTTTTTTTGTTTTTTTTTTTCAAATCAGCAGCTGGAGCAGAAGCTGAAAATGTCTTTCTGTGAGACAGTAATTTGCTACTAAAGGCTTTGATGTCTGCCTGCACCAGTCATTCCAGGATCCAGAAATTTCAAGACAAAACTATAAACTGTAAAGGAAATTTGTGCTAAATAGTCATAAGTCTCAAATGCCTTTTTCACTCTGTACCTCCTACACAGTTTTATTTTAAATTAATGTTTTGATTGGCTTACTAAAGGAAAGACAGTAGCAGTGAAGCTTTCCCCTCCATATTAAATGTGACTTATCTGTCACATAATGTCTTTAAATTAAAAAAAGAAAACTAAGTTACAACAAATATTGAGAATATTAAATTACACTCCTTTTGCAAATTTAAACCTCACTATGAAAGAATTTAAGTTGAATTTAGATGTCTGTAGTCAGCAAATTTTTCACATATAGAGATTTTCATTTGATCAGAAGGATAACTTTTCCGGGTTTTTTTTAAAAGTGTTTTCCCTATTGTTGGTGTGATGTGGAGAAGTCCCATCAGTTCTTTATAATGCAGAATAAACTTCCATGCCTGGAGTGAAGTGTGCTAGCTAGTAGCTGGTTACGAGTCATAGTAAGAAGTTTTCTCTTCGTATGCTTGCTTTGTTCATATTAACTTTTTTTTCTTACACAGACACAAACCTCTGGCTAACTTTTAAATCTTCCAAATATTAAAATAATTTGGATATATATTACGTGAACTGAAACAGCTCAAAACCTTTCACGCAGTCTTCATATTTATGAGTTGCATAACAGAGTTCCATAAAATTCACCAAGAAAACAACAATTACAAGGCTCTATTTCCTGATCTTGCCTTCCCTGGACTCCTGAATTCCAAGTTCAGACTGCAAATGACAGTTTCAGCTGTCTAAAAATTGTCAGAATATTGAATGTTAAGTCCATTTTCCCCATGAAAGAAGCCCATAGCTCCATGAAGTATGGATTACCATTTGTATTTTTCACTAACAGTAAATGTATTTTTCTTATTAATTGTTTGCCTTAGGAATGATTTACATATTTTTGTTCCTTCTTATCATAAACATCTGCATTCCTCAGCTCAGCCTTCCTTGTATGTTGTTTCTTTATAAATGGTTGAGCTGCTGATGCAGGTATTGCCAAGCTAACAGTACAAATCATTTTAAAGAGGAAGCTGGCGCGTATGGCAGCCGAGGAGCACACTCTGCAGGACACTGGACAAGACAGTAAATATTCAACTTTTAATGCTGATTAAAGGAGTATAGGTAAAGAATACGTAGGTATACTTAATTGGTGAGACAAACTATTCACTTTATTTATATTTTCTATATTACTTTTTAATTTGGTAAATACTATCCAGTTTTTGTAGTTGTCCTTGTTGATTTGTGTGATTTTAAAATTCTAGTAATAAATTGTCAGGATTCTGTGATTAGGGAGGGTTTAGTTGGTTGCTGTTTGGACTGGGCGGGATGATTTAAATTGAGTACTAGAAACCAGTTTTAGTGACTGCACAATTTACCGTTGTGAGACAAAATAGGTGGCTGTAAAGCTGCCACTTTAAGTCAGTTCACAGAAGAATTCTGAGAAAGATTAGTGAACATGCAGAATTGAGTATTTTACTTTACTAACATCTTGCCCTGTCCTCCCCTTTAGGAAGAAGAGCGTGCAAAGCGTGAGGAACTAGAGCGAATACTAGAAGAGAATAATCGAAAAATTGCAGAAGCACAAGCTAAACTGGTATGTGAAGATGTAGTTTACTGTTCTGTAGGGGAGTACAGGTCCCGCTGCCTGATTTGCAGCACAATTAAAATAAACAAATCTATCCTTGCTAGAGTTGGAACTTGTCCACTGCTCGTTATGTCAGTAGTGTTGCTCTCCTTCCCGTGAGTGTAAGAGACCAGATCTTAGCAGTAACGCTAGTCGGAAAACCTAGTTCAAGTGCAGTTAATTTTGAGGAAGATAGCTGTCTTCAGAATTTAAAAAGTACGTTTTTTAACGATATCTCACAGGGAAGGTTGAAGTAAGTTTACGGACAAGTTCAGCTTCTAGAATAGAAGTGACTGTTCTGTTGAGTGGGACAAGTACAAACTGGATTCAAGACTAGTGTAATGGTGATGTAAAAGTGCTGAAAGCGACTTTCAGCATAAGCTTAAGACATCTAAGTTATGAAAGTCTACCTTACATTGGTTTCAGAGCTTATTGAAGTAGGTGCCTGCCTAATGAGAACATTCAATATGATTTAGCTGATTCTAATCAATTAATGACAAACCCAACTAAGCTTCTAAATCCGGATTGAACTCTGTTGGTTTCAGTTACCCAGGTAATTGCACCTTTTTCAGGTAAAGATGGTGCCTCTTAAAACCATTTTCATGAAGTACATCTGCGTTAGATCTCCTTTTTTTTTACCGTTTTCTCAACCTTGTATGGTGGAAGTGGGACGAATACAAAATTAAAAGTTTTAACTGATGTAATGAATAAAATAATCACATTTAGAAGACTGCTGGAAGAGCTGTAAGAAATGTAAGTCGACTTAGGGATTGACTTGTTACAAATCAAGTAAAGAAGGTTTCGAATTAGAAGGAGGCTTTAGATGGGTTTTGGAGCGTGGAGACCTCTGATGGTCTGTTACTTCACTATAATGTCCCTTCATCTGACACGTGACAGGTGTCAGGAATTGCTTTATATATGCACTGACTTCTTTATTTAAAATGTAATAGGTGTGTTTGCAAAGCAATCACTGCATGTAAGCTGTCAAGTTTTTGATATGTTAGCTCTAGAAACTTATTTTCTTCTGAACTCCATTCAAATAACCATTCTGTAAATAGCTTCGCTGAAACCAATTATGGCATCTAGCTCAGGTAGAACTGCTTACATACCTGTGCAGGATTGGACCTGTTTGGAAGTTAATATGGACTTGTAAATTGCTTTCATGACTTCAAAATGTGCTGGCCTAAATTCTACCATTTTCATATACAGGCTGAAGAACAATTGAAAATTGTTGAAGAACAAAGAAAGATTCATGAGGAGAGGATGAAACTAGAACAAGAGAGACAACGTCAGCAAAAGGAAGAGCAAAAAATTATCCTGGGCAAAGGAAAGTCTAGGCCAAAACTGTCCTTCTCACTAAAAAGCCAGGATTAAATTGCAACTCTGAACTCTTAAAAGAAACAAAAAAATCCCCACAAAAAATAAAAAACACAACAACTTTGTATGGTAGCTTCATGTTGAAGTGTTTTTTTTTTCTCTCAAATTTTTTTTTGTCTTTTTTTGAAAGTCTGGAAAGTTAGCTTGTTCTAATAGGGGCTGTGCTCTGCAATTCTTAATTTTTTTTAAACTTCCATTAAGTTAAACCCTTATCAGATCATTGTTGCCTTTTAGAGGGTAATCTGTTCTCATCAATTTTGTTTCTGTATTAGTGGTCTGAAGCAGATCAGGTCACTTTATGAACTGTGGATAATCTGATAAGGTTTTACTGACCTACTCTTCAGAGTTTGACTCTGATAATTGACAGAACTTTATACTGGGTATTACTGACTTTTAATTATTTTTTTTAAAGTCAGTAAATACATGAGTAAATTGCCATAGTATTACTGGACCTCTGTGGTTTATTGTTAAATCAGTGTCCTATGATACTGTCCCATTGTTGCGCTTGATGTTCCTGATACAGGTAAGGAAATAGTTTGTCATTTCTGCTATGAATACATAGAGAGAGTTCAGTATTGTCTCTGTTAGATTTGTTTTTATTACATTGACAGCATTCAACCAGCGTTCCCCATTGTGTAAATAAACCAATTTGCTGAATAAAGTGAAAGTCTTAAATTCATATGTTTAAGTAAATTTTTTTAGTACACTTCTATAAACAGCTGTAAGAGTGACAATTCACATTATTAAATTCAAGGCTATAGTGGTACTTTTTTAATTTTGCTTCAAACTATTGTGGCTTCTCCTACTTATAATGCAAAATTACACACAGTAAAAAAATCCCTGCAGTTGTGAATGTTTTTGATGGCTGCTGCTGTTTTCATGAATGTTGGTTTTTATTCTGACAGAGACTTACTTCAGCTCTAATATCATGTTTAAACAGCTGTTTGGCTGTTGCACCCAGACCAAATACTTCGATATCTAAACCCCTTGAGTTCACCTCATAATATAGTGTGTTGTATAAGTTAAGGTCATTACCATATAATGAATCTGATGGATCCTAAAGGATTAAAAAATGGAAGTTTTTTTCCCAAAGGACTGGACTGGCTAGCATACTTGAAGTGAAAAACAGAAAGTGAGATTCTGTCTAAACATATTGTTTTTAGCCAGAGAGCAACTGTTATTCCTATACAGATCTTGAATGTTATCCATTTATATATACAGGTTTTATTTTGAAAAACGAGACTACAGATTGAACATTATATATATATATAAAAGTCCCCTTTTTGTATGTAATTCTTTTACCAAAAACCTTGATTACTATAGCTTGTCCAGTTCTAAAACTTTTTTCCTGTCAACATGCAACATCTGTAGTAACCATAAAATGAAAGTTACCAGTAGTTGCCTGAGCATGTGAAAGTCACTGGACAAAGTTGGAAGTAAGTCCTGATATTTCCAAAGGATCTCTTTCTGTAGATTTGGCAAATTAAGTGTTGGAGCAAGTCGAGTATGACTCAGAAAGCAGTATTCAGCATGCTGTGTATGAAACCTGGGCTTGGGGGCAAACTGATGTGTATCGCTTTGTCCAGTATGTCAAGAGAAATGTGAAGACAGTAACATACCTACGTTATTACTGTACTTAAATTTGTCTATATATTGTATTACAAAAGAAGGTTGAAGGTTGCTTAATGCATAAAAACAAAAGCTGAAGGCAAATAAATCATGTACATGACCTGTTGGCAGGAGCAGGCTGTATTTAAAGCTCAACCGATACCTGTATTTCTAAAACAGAAAACATCCCCTGTTCCCTTATGAGAAACAAGCTATTAAAAATCAATACTCAAAACAGACCTATGCATTTTTGTTTCCTCTTATAGAACCAAAAAGCTAAGTTCTCATACGTGCAGCTGTGGTATTAAGCACTTTGTCCTACATCACTAACTTGCTCCTAAACAGTAGCATTTGTTCTTTACATTTAGCATTGCGTAGCCTTAAACTTTGAGAGGTTACTTTCAATCGCACATTTAGGATTACTGTATGGACAAAATGTTCTGTTGCAATTAGATCACCCCTTTTGCCTTTCCACACCTCCCTACCTGTGTTTCCTTCCCCCTGCCCTCAAAAAAAAAAGCAAAGCAGCTGTGGGGTTTTTTTTGTTGTTGGGGCAGGAGTTCAGTTGGTAGAAACTGCTGTCTACTGCCTTAAAGCATTCTATACTTAGCTTTCTGTAGACCTGTTGTGGGTGGTTGTTAACATTTGCATTATTCTAGGGTTTTCTGTCTTTTTAAAATTACTGTAGGACTTCAAGGCTACTGTTGATTTCTAGGAAAATTGAGGTGTGCACCCAATTTGGGAGTGGGGGAGGAAATTGACATTTGATGATAAGAACTTGAGATGTTTATATATTGCGTTAAAACTTGATACCCATCTAATGCAAAGTAGATAGACTGACATTTAGGTAGTAGTTAAACTGAGTATGAGCTTGGCAGGGGGTGGAATCTACACAAGGATATTAAGTTACCTAGTGAAGTTGCTGTTAGAAATTGTGCTGAGTGTTTAGTTTTCATTTCATCACGGTTTGAAGTTTCAACTTCAAATTTTGGGTAGATAATTTTTTGGTTGTTTTTTTGGGGTCGGGTTTTTTTTCTGTGTTTTGTTGTTGCTTCACTCCCCCAGGGAGACAGGGAGGTTTTTTTTGTTGCCTACCTTGAACAGTATTCATTTCCTCAATATCATGACAGAAGAGATCTTAAGTTTTCCCAACCCCTATTCATAAATGTCCCAGAGAACTATTTTAATACCGAACACTACATCTATCTGGCTGAGGCAGGAGAGAGTGGAAGGCCTTAGAGCAGTATCCTAGCAGTGTACTGTTACTTTGGAGATTTGTTGAACTGCCCTTTGAACTTCCCATGTTCATTATCATCGTTTTTCCAAGCACAAACGGAAAGCTGACTGCTATGAATTGTGTTGGAGAGCTGCTGTCCTTGAAGCTTAGCAAGGCAGAGACAATTAGGTTGGCAAGATATCTTAAGCTGCCAAGCAACTGCATACCTACGTATAGACAGATATGTCAGTATTATCTCGCTAAAGTATCAATACTTCATCTGCTTCTAACTTGCCTTGAAAGAGAAGGATCTGTCTTCATTGTCTCGTCTTTTTTCTCAAGTTTTGTGCCGCCTCACCTCACCCTGTCTGTCGCCCTTGCTGACTTGAAAATTGTAAATCTCACTTTCTGATGCTCTTCGCGATTGTTTCGAGTTTCTGTGCCATTTTTTGCGGTTACGCCAAATATGAAGGTGTGGGTTGCGATTCAGTCTTAACTGCGTCAAGTATCCTGTTAAACATTTTCAGAGTATTTGGGGATGTGTTATCCCTTTGGCAAGCAGGAGGAAAATTATGAGCTCTATTATTGCGAGATCTCAACTCAGTTCAAGTTCAGGTGAAACTAGTTGATAGGCACTTCTCAGTTTGCATTGCAGAGGTGATTTATTTCAGAGAACTGTGGAGCTGCCTGTGTGCCCAAGGCTCGTTTCAAGACAGGATACGGTTCCAAGGAGGATATAGTCCAAGTGCCCAGGCTGATGCAGTTTTGGATCGAGAGGCCAGTCCAACTGGAGCTGAACCATGACTTTCACACACCTCTGTTCCGTTCTTGGGCTAGTGCCACCGAATGCATGCGTTTCAGGGTTCCCCCGACCCCTTCCCGTCCCACTGTTCTGTCAGCCAGCTGAAGAGTTGAAGAGTCTTGGTATTTCCGTACCGAACAACTTAAAGCTTCCGATCGTCTTTCCTGGACTGACGGGTGGAAACAAGGGTCAGGCTGGCTCAGCAGTCAGCTCTGCACGAAGCGGCATACACCTTTACAAAAGGCCAGTGGTGTAGCAAAGGTTTGGTCCCAGGTCTTATTTCCCACCTCACATAACTCATCGCAGACCACAAAATAATGTAAGAATTCGATGTTGTCACACAGTGATACTGAGAATCGATATAAAAATAAACCAGAGAATTAAAATGCATAGTTAGGATGTACAGGCTTCTTTCCTGATTTTTATTGCAAGGCTGCTTATTTAGGAGGACCCAAGCTAATTCTCTAAGAAGCTATGGTTAACCAAAATTGCAGTTATAAAACAGACATGGAGAAGACAAATTAACTTTTAGATGTATATTCACTCTGCCATAAGTGCAGGAGATACGTTGTTATGGTGTGAATGATATTTCATGAGCTGTTTCGAGTGTCTTGACACTTGGCCTTTTGTACAAACAGCAAACAGTTCATTTAAGTCAGTAAGCATCAATTGTGTGGTCATTTGTCTTTATTAAATTTAGCAGTAATTGTATCTACTGAGTTATCTCTTTTCGACTTTGAAAATTGGTAATTTTTCAAGTAATTATGAATGATGGTGAGCTTTCCCACTTAGTAAAAATCGTGTCCAATGTATTCTCATTGCCAACATTTAAGAAAGAATTGAGGATTGTGGCCCTGATTCTGATCCCTGTCAGATTAGCTGCCTTTTTGTTATAGATTTCATCGGATCAGAGCCAGTATCTATGCAGTTATTGCCCACTTCGCTGTCGGAAAGAAGCCGAAAGAGGTTATTCAGCAGCAAACACGATTTTTGCTCTAAAGCTGGCTGAGATACAGGAAATAAAGATTTAAGCGGTGCAAATGGCAGAGTCCCGGCTTTTCCCTGAAGGTAGAGCGAAAGGCAGGTCCCACCTGCTCGCTGGCCCAGCTCATCTATCTGTCTGTCCGTCC